ATATCAGCAACATACATCTTTACATTACTGTCACTTTGCAGTAAAAACAGCTATAAAAACACACTGCACAAAGTGCTGGCGAAAACTGCAATAGAATTTAGTATGAAAATTTTTGCCAAAAAATTTACGTTATTAAAAAACTCAGAATGAATCATGTCTTACTTTTTTTTTTTTAGCAATCAGAAAAAAAGCTTTGATAAAACAGCAAAATTTTTGTTATAATTTTATACAAATATAATTTGTTTGTTTAATAAGTGTTTAAATTTCAATCTTTTCTTTCTCTTCTTTTCTTTCCTTTTCTAATTTTTTTAATTATCTGATTATGCCATAGCTTAAAAATGCAAACGTATCAACACTGCAGTAAAGTTAGAGCAATTTTGAAGTTTACATTTTTTGAGGCTCTGATACGAATTTTTTACGATACATTTGAGAAGCAAAAGTTGCTCAAAAGAAAAAAGAAATGAATCTTTTTCTTTTCAGTTTCTCAATGAGAAGAATTTGTAAAAATTTACCGGTAATTTTTGATGAAATAACTGTGTATCCTCTCATTTGTAGTCTTTAAAAATTAAGATATCTATCGGGAGAAAAAAAAAGAGAAAGAAGAAGAAAAATGCTGTAGCAGTGATGTGGATACAGATTCAGACCGATAGTGTTCAGGTGATTCAATTGTCGTAGATTTTGCAATAACTGTCAAGAAGATCCGAGTCGGATAGATTTAACAAACAGAAAGAATAAAAATAAAAAAGATTAAAAGTGTAAAAAAGTTTCAAAATGGATTAAGATAAACAGCTTTTTTTTTTTTCTTCTTGACAATCAATGAAGATGAGTATAAAAAGTTTTGCCTACAAAGCTTTTTTTTTTTTTTTGCATTATTTATTTAACACTTTGATTTTACTCATCATACATCAATGTGCTTTGCTCCCCTTTGTAATTATTACTAGAAATAAAATTTAATAGTAGTTTTTGCATGTGACAACAGAAACCGGCAATAATATCTGCACAAATAACACAGAAGAAAGAATATTCATTCAATTGTTCAGTTCCAAATTGATTGCTGAAATTAAGCAAGTAAATCTGTTTTTTTTTAATGATAGCAAATGACTGAAGAAAGTATAAAAATAGCAAAAGGTGGAAAAAAAATGCAGAAAAAACTGCAATTCTTCATTAAGCAATAACTATGATCATGTTGATGGAACATTTTTGAAACATTAGTTACGAAACAATTGCCGATGTCTGAACTACACCTTTGTAAATTAAATTTTCAACTCCTTCTTTATGCAATCATTTATTACTTGTTGGTAATCTGATTTATTTTCTGTAAAACATATAATCTTCTGGACAAAAACAACAACAATTAAATGATAGAAACAGTGAATAATCCGGAATATTTATTAGATAAGCACGTTGTTTTTTCTCTTCCACCTACAAATATATCTTAAAATATCTATATTTTTTGAAAATTATAGCAAATTATCAGCTGTAAAAATTGTATAACCGTGAAATCACCATCTGTAGCAGGGTAACTGAACAAATTGGTGGTATATGGCTGCTCGAATCATAGTTATTGCGTACGTCTACTTGAGACTTTTTACAAGAAAAAAGAAAACCAAACAAAAGTTCTTTTTTTTTTTTTCACAAATATTCTGATAAATTTAATTGATATTTTGTAACAGTGCTTTTATTACTCAAACCGAAAAAAAAAAAAAGGAAAGAAAGCGTTGAGTAGTTTTATAAGTTTTTCGAAAAGAAAACAATTTTTATCTGACTAAGAAATAAAAAGGTTTCTTTTTTTTTTTTTTGAAATTAAAATTGTTGGTGGTGAAATAGTGTAATCTGTTTTATTCATAAGGCTGCAATTACTTCCAAAGAAAAAAAAAAAAAGCATAAACCTGATGACGCATTTTAAAGTATCAATCACTGTGATGTTGACACCAAATGACTTCTATTTTTGGAAACAACACTGTTGCAGTTTTGCTTTTTTCAACTTTCTGTTATATATCGGTATAAATAGACAGAAGTATGTAAATTCTTCGGAACAATACTATTAAAAAAAAGCTATCATACAATACTTCATATCGATAATGTTTAATGTTTGCTGGCAACAGTAGCATAAACCAAAAAATTACAAAAGAAATAAGTGGAAAACCTTCAGATTATATAGCGTACAAAAACCACTGAAACCATAAATAGATGCGGCAAAGCAATTTGAAGTCTTCATAAAGCATCTCAATTTCTGATGATAAGAAGAATAAAGAATTTGTTACTTTTTGCACTGCTAATATATTTTGAAATCAAATATAACTTAGAAAAAATCTTTGTTTTATAAAACTGCTTAGTTTTTTTTTTTTTTTTTTTCTTTGTGATATCAGTCTATGAGTAATCACTGGTTTTTTTTTTTTTTGCAGTATACATTTATGATCAATTTTACATTTAATTAAACTCTTAAGGTTCTTTTTTTCCTCTGTTTTAAATTATAATTACCATTTATATGCTTCATAAATACCGCATTTAAACTATCAACAATGACATCATAATAAAAAAGAGGAAAAATAAACAATTACAAATTTTTTAGGCTCCAAACTTGCAGATGCAATTTATTCCAACTATAAAGAAGCGTTGAACAGGCATAAATACTGAAGGCCACGTGCAAAAAAAAAAAAAAGATTAGAATAAAACAGATTTTAAAACACAAAGAAATTATAGTAACATTTTTAATTATTGTGAAAAAAAAAAAAAA